AATGAGGACTGATATCTTTAATTTTTCAAATATTTCGAGATTATAGCAGACAGATAGTAAATTCCATAATCAGTGAACATGTCAGTCCAAATCTGCATGATTGAAAACAATGTTTAGGTAAAGCGGAGTTGACGGGATCATGTTTTTAATTGTTATTACCTATAGTACGTTATGTTAGGGTATCAGAGGTCTACCTGTTTTTGTTGTTATGAAAACATTTTCAACGACCTATACTATTACTGCAATCTCTGAGAGTGGTTGAGTCTTCTGATAAGATTTGATAAGAACGAACACCCTTTTGCGAAGAACGTTGTGCGGCAGTGATTTGGATGTGAAATGCACGCTCACCACTGATGAGAGAGCACGAAATGGGCATTGGTGTTAAACACAACATTATCTGCAAACGTACTCAAAGCGTGAGTGACAAACTAAACACTTTGATTAAAACAAACTACGACAAAAGGGGGGTTGCCAAGTGGATACTAACGTGATTTATATGAAGTAGCAGAATTACAAATTACTTCAGTATTATCGAAAATTCGGTAATGAAATCTCAAACAATATAAACACTTATGGTAAAAAAATTTTTAGGTCATAATTTTTATATACTTCCAAAAGCCTTATTTTGGAGGTCCAAATAAGGTGGATGTAATTTTGCATTTTGGTTTCGGAGATAGTTATATGGAAATATGTCACTTTTAAATATTGCAATTTAAATCTACAAAATCAAATCAGAAAAACGCAAAATCTATTCCTGTTTTCATTATTAATAATAGTTATTTTATTTTTCAATCTATGGCAACCCTAAAATATTTGCAATCAAGTGTTGTACTGTTTAACAAGTGCCCGGAATAAATAACAACAATAATCTTCGTACATATCAATAGCACAACACAAAAACCCTAGAAGAGAATTATTATCAAAACTCGAGAACAACAAATAAAAATTTAATAATAAGTAAATACTACTCGAATTCTAAACTTGGGAAGCTATAAAAATAAAATTTCACTTTAAGTAATGCCCGGTATTTCGACGCGAACACAATCAGTTTTTGCCACACTCTCTAAGCAGTCACACCAAACCTAAGAGAACTCAAAGCGTATTATTTAATTAGCGGAGGAGAAATAATAACGTGAAGAAAAAAATTAAAAAAAGAAAACGAAATTCCAAAACCAACCTGTCAAAACGGTGGTGCAGTCCAAAACAAAAGTGTAAATAAACCAACAGACAGACGTTTATATCCGAAGTTTGCCAGGTAAAAAAATAAAAATAAACAACATTGCAATACAACCGGTGTCAAAATGCAAGTTCATTGACTGTCTGTTCTGTTCTCCATTGGACAGTTTGTGCGTGCGTGTTCTTTGTCAGTTGAAAGTCAAGTGAATGTTTTCTCTGTTTATGGTATGAGAGCTTTCTGTTATGACAAGTGACAATGGCGAGTCTTTTTGACGCTGGTCATTTGTTTTGCTGTTCCTCTTTTTGTTTGTTTTCATTGCTGAGGCATCGGAATTAGTACTCTTTGAGTTTATTTGGTACATTGACGGATTCCACTCATTTCAGGTTGAAGAGTAAATTGAATAAAATGAGCGAGTGAAATTAAATAAATTGATAATGAGACCATTGAAGTCGAGCTTAAATGAAAGTGGACTTAATGCAGTGTTCGGCATATGCAGTATAACAAATATAGAATTATTTAAGTAAATCAATGTTATGAGACTGAAACACAATTTTAGGGATTCCAGTTTCTATATAAAAAAACAAATAAGCGGAGCAGTACAATCGGACGGGGCCAACCATATTATACCATATGCAACAACCTTTCAACTTTAAGTTTCTGCGGAGCTTAATCACGAACTTGGACAAGATTCCCGATGTTTCTTTTACGGGGTGTTGGTAATATTAACCCAGACCATTATGTTCTGGAGATCCTTAGTACTTTGAAATGTTAGAAAAATCACATATATCACATATCGTGATGATAAATACGATTTGAGGCATCAAAAACCCCAACGTAGTGACATGGTTAATAAATGTAACGTGCAGCAAACAAAGTTAGACCGGACGGTTAAAATTAATTGGGGTTTCGAGGAGAAGACTCATATTGTAATAGGACCTTGAACATACCGCAAAGATGCGAGAAAAATGGGGCCATACCAAAATGGGAATCGATATTGATAATTTTTGGTAATAAGATTTGACAGCTAATGATAATACCAAGTTACAGCCAATTTGGTTGAAAAACTTGTCCAAAAATACCGATTATTGGGGGGCACTGTTATATAGTGCTACCCTTTAACTTGGGTCAATACTAATAATTTTTGGTGCGTAGATGTGTTATACAATTAGAAGTCAAAATACTACATTACAACCGATTCGGTTAAAAAATTTACCCAAAATACCATTATGGGGTCTATCCTGAAACTTGAGTCAACATTAATAATTTTTGGTAGTGAGATTTGACAACCAATGAAAATACATAAATTACAGCCAATTCGATTGAAATCGTGTCCACAATCCCCAAAATACCGAATATTGGGGTGAACTGTTACAAAATGCGGGATACGCCAAAACGTAAACCGATATATCCCATTTCCAATACCAAACATCCCACAAGTACTACCAATACCTGTTCATAATTTAAGAGCTCTATAATCTATCAGAATATTAGATTTTGGCATTTTTAAGATTAAAAATTTTCTTCAAATAGTGCATTATAAAATTTGATGGTGTATATTTTTGGTACACACTCGGAAGAAGATCGATTTTAACACTAAAATTAATTCATAGTTTTAAGAATTTTTAAGTCTATGCTGATTTTCGAGTTTTGGGCTATTCTAAAAATCATAGTAAAACTTTATGACGAATATTTTTGTAGCATATACTGAGCTGCTGTAACCCCGTTTTAAATGCGTTTTCAATCATTTCTGGCAGTCGGTGCTTCCGACAGATATATATCTTCAGTTTAATATATCAATATTGAAAATGTTGATCAGTTTTGGGGGAGGTACAAGAAGAAGTGGACCAATGGGTCTCATCTTCAGACTTGATCTATACTTGGTAAATATAATAGGATTTGCAAGGTTTGGTTCAAATCGGATAGACCGTTTGCATGATATTATGAAATTAATTTTCAGAACAAGTTTGAACTTTCTTTTGAGCTTGAAGTAAGATTGACAGAAATACGTACAAAATGCTAAATTTGGATGAAAATGGTTACTCCCTTCGGCACACCAGCCGGTCAGACAGACGGACGGACATTTGCAAATCGTCTGAAACGGGGTCTTAAACCAATATTTCGATGAGGCACATTTTTGCTGTATCAATGTGTATATAACCTCATCAATATATGTGTGCTAAGTTTCATGAATATCCGTTCAGATTTAGATATAGTTTCCATATATATTTTCGTACGATTTTATGTTAATGGAGCAAAAAAGTCCCTATATATCTTTCGATTTGCTCGAAATATTATATTAGTCGGTTTAGATATCGATAAGGATCACATATTTAAGTTCGTTCAATTTCATGTTAATGTTTCTTCGAAAAGGCGACGTCTGTTGGGATACATATCGACGCCTCCGAACCATAGTATGCTAAGTCTGAAAAGTGAGTTTTTCAGTAGAAGCTTTCAAAGTATGGAAGTTTCTTTAATCGGACGTGGAATGCTAAGTACATTTTTGCTTATAACTTTGGTTTGGATTGGCCGATGATTACCAAAATTTCAGTGAATTAAAATTAAGGGCCGTAGTATCTAAAAACGTAAAGAACTTTAAAACATGCTAAGTCGACTTAACATACTATGATTCGGAGGCATCGATATGTAGAATATACCCAAAGTGGTGAAGGGTATCATATTGGCGGACAAGTCCGTTCAATCTAATTAGTTGCAATTAATCGTCGGTTCTCATTGGTAATATTCCTACGAAAAATTATAAACATTGTTTCCCTATTTAGAGTGAACCCATGTAACGGTACCTCCTAAATTTAGTTTTTTTTTTGGTGAGTTCGATTTACAAATCCAAAGTATATATTCACGTCTTTCAGCTGAATATATACTTTGTATTATTATTAGGTAGGCAATCTTCCAATTAAAATCCAACAATATTTGCCCAAGTTTCAAGGTATCAGAATTTTCTGGTATTTTGAAGATTTCAGTCAGGTTTTCCAAACATAACGCATCATTTTCGGTATGTTCAGATCCTAGCCCAATGTTCCAACATGAGTGTAGTTTGGTATTCCATTTACTCCTGGTAGCAAATTACCACATAATAGTCGCCAAATAAATGTCCCGATCGATATTAGGTATTTTGAACGCCCATCTCCTCGAGGAGGGTATAAAAAATTCGGTTCCGCATAACATAACGACAATTTTACTCATTTTAATTAAATTTTAATTCGATTATGGCAGATCTTTTCAGTGGCTTAATTATTATTACTTCTTGGAGTAATATTTTGGCGACTCTCAATGAAACTCCTTATTTACTGCGAAAATATTTTATAGGGCCTGATTTTTTATTTGTTTTCTGTTAATAGTAGAATCGTAATAAATTTGGAATTTGAAAATTCAAACCATGAATGATGGTAAAAATGTACGTGGAAGTCCAAAAAATTTATGTGGAAGGACATTTGTATATCAAGGCAATAAAAACCCTTTTTACTATTTTCCCTAAATTTACAACCATGGTGTGGTGTATTAAATTCCCATCCATTTAAACGCTCCAAATAATCCCTCAGATTTTGTTTATTGCTTTCCTTTAAATTGCAGTCAATCAAAAATCTCACAACGAAGCCTTTTCAAAACCGGACGATAGGCTACATCAACGCCACACAGCAGCATCAACAACATATAAAACAACAAAACGTCAGCTCTATCATCAACCACAACATCATTAGTGGTGCAATATCAACAACATCACCAGAAACATCATCGTTCAGTTCAGCCAACAATAAATACAAGAACCCAGAAAAAAATAAAACAACAAAGATAAAAACCAGGAAAGATGTCCTCCCCATCCTTGCTAACCGCAAAACTACCAACATTCGAGGAGATTCTAAAAACGGCCAAAGAGACATTTCGTCAAAATTTTGGCCAGCAGCCAGAATTAGCCTGCTGTGCACCGGGACGTGTTAATTTGATTGGTGAACATGTTGATTACAATGACGGTTATGTTTTGCCCATGGTAAGTTAAATTGCAGAGAATTCAGGCTGATTTTTTGTTAAGCTTAAAAAAGAAAATATTGAAATATAAAAGCAAATGCAATGGCATGTTAATTAATTAAGAACTGAACAAAATGCATATTTTTGGATGGTAGATTTTTTTCCTTTTAATTAAAATATTCAAATTTTCAGACAGATTATTAAAAAAAGAAAACCGTCACTACATTTAAATAAAATATAATTTCTTTTATATTCCAACTACCTTAAATTTTTTAAGCAGGAAGTGGATATTTCTAGTTGATTATAACCATAAAATGAGATTACTCATGCCAAAAACATGGAATGTGTGTGCTGTTGAATTGCTCTTCATAATGAATTCCCTTATGTTGGCATTCAACGTTTCGTTTCGTTTCGTTTCTTTTTTATTTATTTTTCCCTTTCCTTCTCTTGCTCTTTCACTGTAGGCCCTACCAATGGTTACGGTCATTGTTGGCGGTCAACGTCCGGGAAATGAAGTTGATTTAATTACATGCTGTGCTGGTGCTGATGATCCAAAGCGTGTTAAATTTTCATTAACGGATTTGCAACCTAGCCAAAAACCAAAGTAAGTATGCGGCTTTAAGCGATTACTATAATTACTCTTTCACGTGTTAATATTAAAGAAAAATAATTAAAAATTAAGGTGCACATTGTAAGTAACGCAAGTGAATTTTCGCAGTCTAAAAGATTTTTTTTTTCAATATTATATCCTCTCAGAAAATGTTCCAAACCGTTTCATGGGACTATTTAATCCCAGATTGATAGTCCTTGAAAAAATGTTCTTTATAATGTATATTATAAAAAAACCTACTTTATAAAACCCACGCCTATTCTTTAAAAAAATCTACGCCTATTGATAGTCCTTGACAAAATAGTATTTAAAAAATCCGCGCCTATTGATAGTCCTTGACAAAATAGTATTTAAAAAATCCGCGCCTAATGATTGTCCTTGAAAAAATATTGTTTAAAAAATCCACGCCTCAAATAGTCCTTGACAAAATATTGTTTAAAAAAATTTACGCCTCAAATAGTCCTTGACAAAATATTGTTTAAAAAATCCAAGCCTCAAATAGTCCTTGAAAAAATATTCTTTAAAAAATCCACGCCTCAAATAGTCCTTGAAAAACTTCTTTAAAAAATCCACGCCTCAAATAGTCCTTGAAAAACTTCTTTAAAAAATCCACGCCTCAAATAGTCCTTGACAAAATATTGTTTAAAAAATCCACGCCTCAAATAGTCCTTGACAAAATATTGTTTAAAAAATCCACGCCTCAAATAGTCCTTGACAAAATATTGTTTAAAAAATCCACGCCTATTGATAGTCCTTGACAAAATATTGTTTAAAAAATCCACGCCTATGGATAGTCCTTGACAAAATATTGTTGAATAAATCCACGCCTCAAATAGTCCTTGAGAAAATATTGTTTAAAAAATCCACGCCTCAAATAGTCCTTGACAAAATATTGTTTAAAAAATCCACGCCTATTGATAGTCCTTGACAAAATATTTTTTTAAAAAATCCTTTGAAAAATTGTTTAAAAAAATATTCTTTAAGATATCCACGCCTATGGATAGTCTTTGAAAAATATTCTTTAAAAAATCCACGCTTATTGATAGTCCTTAAAAAATGTTCGTTAAAAAATTAATAAAATATATATATATCAATATCTGAACCGATTTCAATAAGACTTGCCAAAAATTAACTTATATTAACTACAGTACATTGTTCAAAATTGTGTGGCAATCGGACAAATATATATGGGAGCTATATCTAAATCATTACGCTATGCCAAATTTCGTGCAAATCGAATGATATATAGGGACTTTGGTACACCATTTACATTAAATCGGACGAAAATATATATGGGAGCTATATCTAAATCTGGACCGATTTTCAGGAAACTTGACACACATCAGTCTATACCTAATTCATTACGCTATGCCAAATTTCGTGCAAATCGAAAGATATATAGGGACTTTGGTAAACCATTTACATTAAATCGGAAGAAAATATATATGGGAGCTATATCTAAATCTGAACCGATTTTTCTCAATTTCAATAGGGTTCGTCCTTGGGCCAAATAAGTGACCTATGCCAAATTTCATCCAATTCGAATCATAAATGCGACCTGTACTTTGTTTATAATTTAACATGGACAGACGTACGGACGGACACAAGAGCAGACGGACATGCGTAAATCGACTCAGAAAATGATTCTATGCATATTCTCAAAAGGAACCATTTGTCTATATCGTTTGCTTTTGCCTGTTACAAACATATGCACAAAGGCATAATACCATATACCACAGTGTGGTGAAGGGTATAAAAATCCACACCTATTGATAGTCCTTGAAAAAATATTCTTTAAAAAATTCACGCCTATTAATTTTACAAAAAAAAAAAAAAACCAGTGAGCGGAGCAGTATAGTCGGACGGGGCCGACCATACGATACCCTACACAACTAACACGGAACTCAAATTTTCTGCGGATGTTTATTCCGAGACTGGGCAATATTTCGTGATATTTGCACCCTCTTGCCCGATTAGAGGTAAACAGCACATGTTCCTCACACTGACACATTTGAGGTTTATAGATCGACTCGAAAATAACACAAAAAATTAAGTTTTCGGTCCACTTCATTCCAAAATTATTATGTGATCATCACCGAAAATTATAGGCGTTGTCCTTGACCATAACTGGAACCTCATGGAACATTTCAAAGCGATCAGCGCTATAGTTCCGCACTCCAGAGTGATAATGGGTTACTAAATAATATACGAATACGGAGATACCTGTAAATATTTAGGTGCAACTCCCACATCCGAGCACATACAACAATATAATTGTTAATTTAAAGGTCAACCACTCCTCTTGGATATAATATCAACTTCTCGGGCATATGTCCTTCAGGGGTAAACATATACGCCATAGAATACAAATTTTGTCATTTTTCACATAAAAGTCAGGGTCCATTTGTCCCGCTAAATTTTGACCGATCTTTCTCCAAACAGGCATGCTTATTCTTTGGCCCGATCTGCTTCTCCACGCAAAATTTCACGATGTTCGGACCATTGTTGCGGCCTCTGGAGCGACCAGAAAAACCGACAAAAATTTAGTATTTGGACCATTTCATCCCCTAAATATTAACCGATCTTTCCCAAAAACAATAGGGGTCTTCATTGGCCAGAACCCATCCTACATGCAAAATTTCGTGAAGATTGGTCTATAACTGTGGCTTGAATCGTGTTTACAAATTATAACGGACAGACGGACGGACACACATGTCTAGATCGACTCAGCTAGTCGAGATATGACGATCGGTATACTTAAAGGTGGGTCTAGGACCAATATTTCGCGGCGTTACAAACATTTGGGGCTGCACAAAGCTATAATACCCTGACAACATAGTTGTGTAGGGTATAAAAACTATATTTAAAATTTCCATTCCCATTCCCACATAATTTACCACCTATCGTCATTGCCTTTTCCCATGACATTTTCAGACAATTAAAGAATTTTTATTTAAATGATACTTTCACCTAAAGTACTTAAATTTTTAATGATAAAAAATTATGCATTCAACTTCAACAACATTCCACCCAAAAACCCTAACTACATTCTAACATTACTGGAAAATTGCTTTATGAGAAAATTGTTGATTTTTACAGTTTTTTTTGTTTCACTGGCACTTATCTTTGTCTTGGGCCATAGTTTTGCATCCTGAAAATTGCCTTAAGTGTTCATCACCTGTCGCAAACTGGTGAAAAAGGAGACCAAAAGTAACTGAAGATGTTAGCCAAACAAAGGATGAAAATGGAAATGAAAATCAACAGTGGCTTCTTTTGCATGCAACAAAAGGACAAAGTCGACTCGACAACAAGAAGAGGAAAAAAATTGAAATGAACACAACAACAAAGTAGGACGCATACACACAAAGTAACATGACATTTGAAACAATGCTACCGCTGAACTTTTACATGTTTCGCCTGCAAACCGTTCGCCTGTCGTGTAGCTGTTGCACTTTATATACATTCTTAATGTGAGCTATGTGCAGGCATCTATATGACTCGGATGTCTGTGTATATGAGTGTGTGGTGCGTCAGTATTGTGTTCATTTCCGTCCGATATTATATATCACAGGAAGAAAGGACGTTTAAACGGACAGACAGATGTATGTCCTGCCGATTGTCTTTTGTTTGTCGTCTGTTCTTTTTTTTGGTTCGTTTGAAGCCTTTTTTCGTCTTCTGCGTCTATGAACAAATATGAACGCAGGTGCACTTGTGTGTGTGCGTGTGTTTGTGTTTGCATGAGAAAGTACATTTATGTCCTTTAAAGTGACATTTGCATTTCAGACAAAAGTAAACTCCATTTTTGTAGTTCGTTTGTCAGGTTTATAAATTGTGACTTCCGCTTGGACTTATATTTCAGTGCTGTGTTTTTTCGTTTTCTTATTTTAGACAAGTGATAGTTTTTGGAAACTTGTAGCTTTCTTGTAAAACTCTATAGGTGTACGACAGATGACATGGGACACTGAGGGAAAAATTGACAAATTTAAAGGGATTAGATTCACTGTGAAATATTTTCGAGGACTATAAATAGGCGTGGATTTTTCAAAGAATATTTTTTAAAGGACTACAATAGGCGTGGATTTTTCAAAGAATATTTTTTAAAGGGACTACAATAGGCGTGGACTTTTCAAAAAATATTTTTTCACGGACTATCAGTAGGACTATAATAGTTTTGACTTTTTCAAAGAATATTTTATCAGGGACTATCAATAGAAATATAATAGCCTTGGCTTTTTCAAAGAATATTTTTTCAGGGACTATCAGTAGGACTATAATAGCCTTGGCCTTTTCAAAGAATACTTTTTCAGGGACTATCAATAGGGCTACAATAGCCTTGGATTTTTAATATGTTTTCAAGGCCTAGAAAAGGTGCGGATTTTGTAAAGAATATTTTTTCAGCCCTAGAAGAGGTTCGGATTTTGTAAATACTGTTTCTCTGAGGTCTGTAAGAGGAGTGGATTTTGTAAGGAACATTTTTTCCAAGGCCTATAAGAGGTGTGGATTTTGTGACGATTATTTTTCCGTGGCGTGGATTTTTTAAAAACATATTTTTAAAGGCCTATAAGAGGCGTAGATTAAAGACATTTTGTGCAAGGCCAATAAGTGGCGTAGATTTTTTAAAGACATTTTGTACAAGACCTAATATTTTTCAAGGCCTGGATTTTTTTAAACTGTCAAGAGGTCTCTATCAAAAGGCGTGGATTTTTTTTAAATATATTTTATACCCTACACAACTATGTTGTCAGGGTCAGGATCAAGAGACTTCTATCAAAAGGCGTGGATTTTTTAAAGTATACCCTACACAACTATGTTGTCAGGGTCAGGATCAAGAGACTTCTATCAAAAGGCGTGGATTTCTTAAAGTAGACCCTACACAACTATGTTGTAAGGGTCAGGATCAAGAGACTTCTATCAAAAGGCGTGGATTTTTTAATGTATACCCTACACAACTATGTTGTCAGGGTATTATAGCTTTGTCATATCTCGTCTAGCTG